GTCTGAGTTCTACAAAATCTTATGTGAAAAGTGTTACACTTAATGAGTCAGTGTTACTTTTAGTGCAAGTTTACTCCAAGGTATTTGAAGTGTTTTAGAAATTAAAACATTTTAAGTATTTTGTATTGTTGTTGCCTATTGCATGTATTTAATGACAATAAACATTTTTAAATTTAATTGCGATAAAGATACACTTACGTGAGGTAAACACTCGATTTATGTTGTTAAACTATCGTAATGTTTCTAATAAAGACTTAAATAAAATGAGTAATTGACAGAATGTACTGTAAAATACAGATTTTTCTAATAGAGGAACATTTTAACCATACCAAACTTGGTAAACTACGTAAATAGTTGGCGTTTCCAATAATTAAATCAAATATCCTACTCCATATTTTAACACTAAAAACCGCAGTCTTGTTGTATAAAAGATTAGAAGATAAATATAACTTCGACAGTATAAAAATCAGAGATGTATATTAAATTATTACTTCTTTAACGTAACTGACTTGCTAGTTTGTACAAATAAGATGTCTATAGTAATTTCCTAAGACAACGGTAAGAGCTACTTCGATAGTATTCAACCACTTATATTCTTTCCCGTGCTTTCAAAGGTACAAAAATATGTTTAAAATAGTTAAATTTCTTCTATAAGCCAGTTATTTAGTCACAAAACTAGTCGCATTTGACTTTAAGTATGAAAACGGCTATCAAAACCCTAGTAATAAAAGTTGTTTCGGGAAATCGTGCAAAATAGACCACACTCAGTTTTTATTTAAAAATCCCTAAACTCATAAACGATCCCAACGAAGTGATGTTTAATACAACTACTCAAATCGTCTAATTTGGAATACCTTGTCAACAATTTTTGTTAAATATCAAATTTGGATGACTTGATATGATGAGTTTAAACTTTAAGAATTCCTCATAAAACCGATTAAAGCTGCAAAATAATATATTACAATAAATTCATAGATTTCGGTCATCACATTTTAATAACATGTTGGTTAGGTATTCTACCGTGACCAATGCAACTATCAGGACAAGATAGTAAACATTTACCTTTCACCAAAGAGATTAAATTCAACCCGCGCTCCGGCAGCAATTGCTTCTCCATTTCATCTTATGGCCTGCTTGATCGCTATTGCTACGCTACCTAGAGTAGCAACAATACACGGCATAAACCAGCTGAGCAGTAGACCAGTAGTTAACAGCTGATCGTATTACTTACTATTCAGTGGTAATCATTGCTAAATAAAACAGCCAATCAGAACGCCACAAACTTCCCCTGTGACGTCAGAAATACTAGAAACATATTGTACCATCTGAACATTCTTGGTAATTTGGTTGTTTACTGAGAAAATAAAGTGTATTACTCTTAAGGTATTATAAAATCATATTCATTAAATCATTGTTAAAACATTTTCAACCAATTTAAAACAATGTGTAGTTATTTCCAACAAATTGTTTACAAACTAAAAAGTACAATTAGGTTTAAAGTTTAAAAAATAAATTACAAATGATGCTAGCTTTTTCAGATGCTATCAAATAATATTTTTTATTTTGAAATAGCTTGGTAATGTTTTATTTATTATGTTAACGATAGCTTTTCTCGTTCTTTGCTACCAAGTTTGATCCTAGAACTTGAAGCATAATTTAAAACTTTAAAAAAATCAGCGAAGTGCTATACTATTAGCCTTTTTAAATTGTTGAGCAAATTTCTACATTTTTTATAGTTGATCATCACAATGAGTAAACCCCATATTTTATATAATTTTCTATTTCACAACTAAACTGTTAGATAGTGTAAAATAAAAAAAAACTATTAAACTGAACAATGAAAATGTAAACATTGCTATCTTATTATTGGTGAAAACTACTCAGTGAATTAATTATCAATGCCAATCTTGGTATCTTTAAAAGTCCTTGAACAATTTTGAAACAAGAATAAGATAAACACCTTTTCAATCTCAATTTCCCATAGTAAAAGTACGAAGAAAAGGTTCGGTAATGCATAAAGGATATAAAAACAAACATACATTGACTTTATTGTTATTATGAGGTAAGTGTATATCGAAAAGAATTTCATCTTATAGGCAAAATAAAATTAATTTTCTATGATTCAAACCTCCCCTTTTTACGTTTAAATGCGTAGTATAAAGACTTTAATGTATAATTAGTACTATAAAAAAAACTGTTAGTAGCTGTGGTCTGAACGTTGAAAACAATCAGATGTCGCTTATCAAACCAGCTGTTGTTATTGTTTATACTGTATAATGTTTTACTAATGTCTTATTAGTATTATAATGTTAAGTATTAGTATTATAATGTTTTATTAGCTTAAATGATGAAAAGTATAGTTCATGACACGGATCAAAAGTGTCTTTAAGTCTCTCGCTAATTTTGCTTTTGACATTTTACATGATTATTAAAAGTTAAGTGTACATAATTTTAAAAATCGGAGTATGTCATTGTAAAGTTGCAGTCAAATTTGTATTAAGGGATTTTTTTATTCAGTTTGTAAGTTATTGTAACATTTTGAGCGTTGGCGCAATTTCAAAGTATATTTTCATTGCATCAATCTAAATCGACAAGTTTGTTCGGTTTGGTACCCATAATATGTAGGTCTACTTTATATAAAAACCACTGGTAGTACAGTAAATGTATAGTAATTAAAATGTGTTTATAATTTATATTTAACAATTATCCTTACCTTTTTTAGTGAAAAGCTATGCAAAAAGTCTCAAGTTTACAATACTCTAGACAATTTAAAACAAATCTTACCAATTTATTACAGACAGTTACTATTCATCAACCTTTGAAACATTGTCGCTACTCGTTGTATGTGAAAGGAATTTAAATTTTATTTCATTACATAATTTTTAAACAAGTTTATTCGTGAACATCAATTTATAGACTAATATTGTAAAATGTTCCAAACTAACTTTCAAAATATCCAAACAAATAATGAGCATGCTTTGTGTTGTTTTTAAACCCCTTTTTACATGTTAATCGTATATTCCAGGTAGGATCTTTCGAATCTAAACTACCATTTTTTTTATTCAATTTTAAACAGAACAGTTAATAACTTGCTTCTTTTATGCTAAATAAAAACTTTTCATACATAACTATACAGACTTATGCAATAGCCTAAGCATTTTGAAATATTGAAATGAAAATTTGTAATAATGTTCCAGATAGTTTCTTAAGGTTTTACAGCTAGTTTAAATATTAGAACCATTTACTTAATCAACATTGTTAATTTATAAGTAAATATATCTTACTTGATTGCTCTAGTCAAAATAAGTAAGAAAAACACTTTTGTCATAATTCGTTGGGATTTAAATAATATTAGTTGGTAACGTTAAACATTTTTATTTGCAAATAATACAAACAACAAAAGGCATCATTTACACATAGATAAATAATAAACTTTACAATACCTAAAGCACAATTAAAAACTACTTAGAAATGTACAAAAGTATAAAAGATTGCACAGCCAAAATAACGGCATTACCTATACACAAGGAACTTGCAAAATGTACAAAGTAGAAATTTTATTACTCCGACTATTGCATTGCTTGAAATGCAATTATTTATTTGAAGTTTTTAAAGTATGCAGTTATAAGTTAAAAGTATTGACACTTAATTACAGTTCTTAATAGAAATAAACGAGTTCTAAATTTTATTGGAGATCAGAAAAAATATCCATACAGAATATAAATTAATCCATATTCGCTTTAAACGCTACGACTAAATTTCGTTATTTTTGGTGTTGTGAATATAATTCACATCATTATGCAAAATAATAAAAACTAGTTCGTTCTCTTAAAACAGATCAAAACTATCGAGTGCGTGCTGACCAAAAAAATTAATATTGTTACAATATTTACACGTATAAATGATTTTGTGAAAACAAATTATTCTTGTTATGCTGTTTATTGCAAAAAATTGCTTTGATTTTATATTATGTTTTTCTAAAACAAACGTAGACCTAATTCCCTTCGCTCGATTCCAATAAAAGAGGCTACTTTTGTTGCGTAAAATGGAGTAAATTTTATTTTAAAATACTATATTATTTAAACCATTGTTAATATTAATATTAAGTTGAAACATGCAAAATTCGTTCAAAGTTGTATTTTCACGAACTATGCTTTAGTTTAAGATATTTCCCCTTGAAATTATAAGGTTTTTGGTAATTAATCGTAATAAGTAACTAATAATAAAGAATTTTGCTATATAATTAACACATGATAAAACAGGTTCGCCAAAACTAATGCTGGAAACTTTAATTTAAGAGCAAAAAAGTAAACTTCATTTCAAACAATTTTGTAAATTTTTTTATTGTTAATTATTAAACGAATTAAATACCGTATTAATAATTATTGATCTAAAATCATGAGCCACTAGAGTTCGTAAAGTATAATCAAGGCAAATACAGTAAAGCTATTTATTGGTATGATTTTGAAACCCTGATATACAGTCATTAACTCAAATAATAAATTACCTAATACAAATAGTTTTGGGTTATTTATTTTAAATAACGGTCATTATTATTTATTATCTTTTTGTGAAACATTTTCCATTTTCAAGCATTTTAAAATGAAATAGGCCTAGAGCTAATTTTTCTAAAAAACTTCATTGGCTCATAGTAATAGGCTAGACTGTTTATTGGCCTATCTATACTTTTTTTTTTAATAATAATAAGGTAGGCCTACTGAAAACAAATCATTTCATGCATAATTGTCATAGAATTATATTGGACAGTTTCGTATTAGAAATACGTTTCTATCATGCAAACAATTTTTGTTTAAGACCTTTAAGGCTATCAGCGAAATAAGTATTAAAAATGCTTCATTATTTGAAAATGTAAAACCAAAGTCAATTACTTCATATTTAGAAAATTGTTTTGATCAATTTTTGTCTTTTGAAGTCAAAATCCGACCTTAATAGTATAATTATAATTGTTTCAATTGAATAAAATTGATGTTTAAAGGAAATCATAATTCTTTTAAAGATAAATCATTATATATATTTTTTTTTACATTTGTTCGGTTTTAAATTTACAATTTTAAACTAAAAACGATAACCAGGGTTAAAATCAAAAATTTTTGCTGAGCTCTACTAATCAACGTAATTTAAAACTAAAATTCAAAGCTTTCTTTATAGGTTTTGCAAATGTTGTACTAATGTTGTGATTATGATGCTAAATAGTTGTAGTTTTAAAATATCTTTACATGTTGGTTCTCCGGCAAGAACCAAAACTTAACTGTTAATTTTGCATCCCGGTTTTTCTTCCTATTAAAAGATACATGTTGAAAATAAAAACATTACTTTCAGCAATCGTGAGATAACTAACAAGTCAATTTAGATATTTATTTGCGTTTTAGGTTTTATTTGATTGTTCATTTTCGCCTATAAACACCAAAAAACTGTTTTGTAACCTATAAAAGAAAAATTCTAATCTAACCTGTATTTTAAAATTTAAACCCCAATAAAAATTAAAAGCCGTTAAAAGTACGCCTAACGCTTATAATGCCTTTTGAATAGTGCGTGGCATCAGAAATCTGCACCGCAAGTTAAATAATGTCAACATAACAATATTAAAGCTATTATTTAAGCTATAGGTTTACTGATGGAGGAAAGAATCAGAGATCAGACGCTTTTAACATTGTCCCCAAAATGAAAAATCTAACAAAAATAAACTAGTTGTTTTTCAAGCAAGTTAAGCATGAAAGAGTGAAAAATTCATGCTCTCTTAATTACCGTCCAATTTCCGTTAACTATATTAACTATATTAATACAGTTAAATATTTAGTAAAGAATTTTACAAAACGTGAGCATTAAACTTTATAATTTCGGATACCTTGTTAATCGTAGATGAAAGAAAAATGGAGAACTACAACCTTTTGGAAAGAAAATATTATGGAACATCTGTCTGCTTGGCCCGAAATGCTACCTCTGATACTTTCCTCATATTCTAGATTGTTGTTGAACATTACAGATTGTCGAAGGCGCTGGAGTTTGTGAGAAGTTCGCGCGTGAGTCTCCAGACCTGCTTGGCAGCGTTCTCCAGCGCGCTCGGCGACTTGCCCTTGAACAGGTCGAGCTGAGGAAGGAAGTAATGTGGACATCTGCGACATTGCAGACAAGATATCAGCTGGAGAAGAATACCGTTGATGCGATCTCCAAGACTGGCTTCGTCCCATTCTGTTTCCATCGGATGTTTCTCACATTCGTACAGCACCAGGGTCTTTATGTGGTAGCTGGTCACAGGGCTGCCAGGAAGTTCTAAGTGTCGGTCTCTGAGAGTTTTCAAAATGCTTAAACATCTTCTTCTGCACGCCCCGAAGAGTAGTCTGCTTTCAACTTCGGTGAATGACATAACCCAAGCATCACCTTCCATCGCTGATTGTTTCCCTTGGATCGTGTAGCATTCCTTGGAGAGAAGGTCGAACCCTTCAGTTTTCACCTCAGCTACGATATTAGGATGAGGCCAGGGTATGTGCGGTATGGGCCAGTGCGCTGCAGACCTCGGCCATACTCCGGAACACTTGAAGGACGGCGTGATCTGCACCACGTACCTCTCGCGTATCCTCAGCTTCACCTCGGTCGTGTCGGCGATCATCTTGACAGAATCACGGTACGCGCATTTGTCACACGCTTGAGCTACCAGAGTCTGGAACCTCGACCTGATCTTGCGAGCGGAGAGGTACCCTGAGGCGGTGATGAACTCCACCCAGAGCGACATGGACCTCTTGCGGCCGTCGCCCAGCTTCAAGACGGCGCACCCGGGGATGGAGCCGTCGTCTACGAAGTTCAGCAGTCCCATCTGGTTGAGGTACAACACTACCTCGAACTCCACTGGGGAGAGAACGTCGAGTCCTTCGAATCTTCCGTTGCACTCGGTCAGTGACGAGATGAACCGAGGCTCTTGCACTTCCACTTCGCGCAAAACGTCTTGCACCACTTTACACACTTCGCGGATTGTCTTCGCTATGGTAACTTTCCTAGCTTGAACTCGCTCCGTGCTGTATTTGTTTAGCTGGTAAAGCATTTTGGACTGTGCCGACAGCATGTCTGCCGGCACCAACATTGTGTTAATTTTTAAATTTATGTATTAGTAAAAAAATTTTGTATCTAAGTTAATGGTCGTATCTATCAAATACAATTTATTCTTGATAAAATTAACTGTTTAGAGTTTAACATATTTGGGGTAATTATAGTTATTGCAAATATATTTTATAATAGTAGGGTTATAGAACAATTAGAAAAGCACTTTGAACACCGGCGCACTTCAACAGATCACTCGACGGTATCCATAGGTCATCTGAAATGTAACAGACATAACAACAGCACGACACTGACTAACACTGGTACAGCGACGAGCAAAAAGAAACAGAGAAACTCTCGCACAAAACTATTGATCCGGTCGAGAGTCGGGCTTCACGGAGCGGAATAAATGTGTGCGGCGAAATTCCCGCGAGTCGGGCTGCAGGAATAAATCTACCGGAGGGCGGCACCGGAGGCGCGGCGCGCGCAGCTATTGGCTGAGACGAGTGGAGCCACGCCCCACCGGTGAGGGGGAGGGGACTGGGGAGAGAAGTAAAACTTGAATATCCTGTCAGTATCCGGCGAGAAACTGCCACGGACACTGGTGTTATATTTTGTGATAGTTTAATGTCAACTTGTCTAAGTGTGAAGCATCCATGGGTAACACGGGGGACCCGACGAGCGGGAGTGCTAGGCGATCACTGTGCGGAATCCGTTTGTTGTTGTTCAAGTAGAAAATAGTGTAAACGCCGGAGTGATAGATAAACATGCTGGTGCCGCAGGATATGATGGCCGCCCAATCTAAGATGTTGTATCAGCTGAACAAGTTCTACAACGAACGAGTGCAGACGAGGAAGACCACGGTGGCGAAGACCATCCGCGAAGTGTGCAAAGTGGTGCAAGACGTTCTGCGCGAAGTGGAAGTGCAGGAGCCTCGGTTCATCTCGTCCTTGACTGAGTGTAACGGTCGTTTCGAAGGGTTGGATGTACTTTCCCCGACCGAGTTTGAAGTGGTGTTGTACCTCAACCAGATGGGAGTGTTCAACTTCGTGGACGACGGTTCTCTGCCGGGATGCGCCGTCCTCAAGCTCAGCGACGGCCGCAAGAGGTCCATGTCGCTCTGGGTGGAGTTCATCACCGCCTCAGGGTACCTCTCCGCTCGCAAGATCAGGTCGAGGTTCCAGACTCTGGTAGCTCAAGCGTGTGACAAATGCGCGTACCGAGACTCTGTCAAGATGATCGCCGACACGACCGAGGTGAAGCTAAGGATACGCGAGAGGTACGTGGTGCAGATCACGCCGTCCTTCAAGTGTTCCGGAGTGTGGCCGAGGTCTGCAGCGCACTGGCCCATACCTCACATACCCTGGCCTCATCCAAACTTAGTCATAGAGGTGAAAACCGAAGGATTCGATTTACTTTCCAAAGAGTGTGCCGCGATGCAGGGGAAGCAATCCGCTATGGAGGGTGACGCTTGGGTTATGTCTTTCACCGAAGTTGAAAGCAGACTTCTCTACGGAGGATGCAGAAGAAGGTGTCTTAGTATTTTGAAAGTTCTTAGAGACCGTCATCTAGAACTTCCTGGCAACCCCGTGACTAGTTATCACATAAAGACTCTTCTTCTCTACGAATGTGAGAAGCACCCTCGAGACACGGAATGGGACGAAGCCAGTCTTGGAGATCGCATCAACGGTATTCTTCTCCAGTTGATATCTTGTCTGCAATGTCGCAGATGTCCACATTACTTCCTTCCTCAGCTCGACCTGTTCAAGGGCAAGTCGCCGAGCGCGCTGGAGAACGCTGCCAAGCAGGTCTGGAGACTCACACGCGAACTTCTCACAAACTCCAGAGCGTTTGACAAACTCTAGTGCTTCCAAAGTGTTTCCTTTCTATACCTGTTTTCTCTCTTTATCCACGCAAGTATTATTTATATTTTATTTATTTTCCTGTTAACTTACGAAGCTATTCTATTGTCTTAAACATATTTAGGAGTGCCCAAATTCTCTTGGAGATGAACTCCCATTTCAATCTTGAGTTCTTTTTTTACTATTAGCCTACATCTCAAGAGACCCAATAAGGTTGTAGGATTCCCAAATTGATTTTTTCTGCACTCCTTCTAATTTTCCCCCACACATGCATTATTTAACACACAGTTCACTTATATTTTAAGGATTTTCCACCTTTATTAAATTGAATTTGACTACTATCCTCCCCACTTCTATTCATTATAGATTATTATAATTTAAACATCTTTGAAGGGTTCGACAAGTCACTGACAGAAAGTTGATGATTCCAACCCTTAGCCTATTTTAATTATGTAACAATTATTGTGATAACATTTCTACCCTTCCTTTGAATATTTATTCAGAGATTAGTTAACTGAACATCATGGGCATTTATCAAATTGTATACGCAAAGTTGAACAGTTTTTCTTGATTGTGCAGTGTTTTTAAGTCAACTGCCTTTTTTATAGTGTGTGTTGGCATTATTGTTCAAGTATAACCTACCAGGTTTGTAGCGGTGCAATATTTATTGTAGATAAATTGTTGTTTTTGTAAATACAATTATTTTCAGTTATCAAATATGGAGTATTATTACCTCGAGTCAAGACCTACTTTAGAGTCACATCCACCACACAGATCTTTACATTTTAAATATTTGCGGCTTAGTAATTTGTAGTTACTTAGTCATACACATCATCCAGTTTTTGAGGTTATTTTTCAAAAACACATTAATTTTGTAATTTAATGCTAACTGGGAGGGTATTTTTTAGTCATCCTCTGGTTGTTAAATAGTTGTTAAAGTTTGGTATTAAAAAACAAACTGGTAATGAAGACAACTGTTGAAAATGACTAAGAGAGCAATTTAAAATAATAGGTTTTGAGTTTACTAGATATTAAGAACAAAATATGGTAACAGGTGTCAAATAGCATTTTAAAGAATTCCTAACCTAAACAAAGGATTTTATATTGAATTCTTGTGTGTGACAAACTTAATTAATTTATGTAAAGCATTGTTTGGATTAGATTTTATTTATCAAGCAGTTGAAGTCTTTCTAGTATAAACACGTGTGGAAACAGAACAGAACATCCTACAAGATACATAGGAGACGCCTTAAATTTCAACTATAAGAAAAAAAAAAGGTTGGAGTCAAGAACAAAAACAACATAAACCCTTAAAGTTTAAAATGTATTAAAATTGGAGAAAAAAACTTGTTGGTATTCATATAAGACTTGGTAACATTTGCCGAAAATTTTCCTTTAGAAATAGCCTAGGCATGTACGTTTTGCTAAAAAAAAATTAAAAAAACTTTTAGTGTAGATTAATTTAAGTGCAAAAACTGGTACCTACTAAGAATGTTATCATAATCATCATAACAGATAAAAATCGTAATGCTTCTAAATCTAAATACTATGCAGTATAATTATAAATTCGTTTTACTGGAATCGAAATACAGTATTCTTAATAAAATAACAACTTGGATTCTTGTGTTAATACTAATAGTGTTAGCCTAACTTATGAAATGATGCAATTCTACCTGTTCTTATGACCAACCAGAATATTGGGGGAATAATTGATGCTGATTTGTGATATCAGTATAAATTTAAAAAAATTAACATTCTGTGAATAATTTTTTTTTTTATAAAACATTTAGACGTACAAGCACACAAAAAATTTAATTTGCTCAAATAAAAAAAAACCTTTGAATATTAATAACATAACTAAACAAGTTGGAGAACAAATTATTCTTTCATAACGAATAAAACTTTTTACAAATTTATGTATCAAATTTCATACTGTTTACAATACAAACGGACTCAATTTTAAGTAAGTAATTTGAAATTCTAAAAAACCATAAAGTAAAACAATAAAATACAAATAAATTATATTTATTATTCTTTTTATGACATTAATAAATTACATTCTTGTAAAAAATGAAATTTTCATCAGCGTTATTCTTCTATTCATTTATTCATCAATTGCACATCATGATTAGTATTGCCAATATATTAAGTAATGAGGTAGTTACCCTAAAAAGTATCAATCGTCTCCAGGTAGGCCTGGTTAAATTTCCCAATAAAAAGGAATACGATTCTACTCCATATCAGGGATTTAATTATTTTATTCAAAAATTCAAACACAATTAATATTTGAGTGAATACTAAGAAGCATGATTAGAACCCAAACAACAAAGGAGCTAAGACTGTCGAAGAGTATATAAAGGCTACTTACAGTCTTCGCAATCCTGAGTTAAATGAGCACTACGGCCGTTTCGGAGATAACTCCATCGTCGGGTGCGTAGTCATCATACTCTAAACTGAATTAGGCCTATTTACATATTTACATTTTTTACGAGGTTTCTTCATTTTCATTGCGTCAATGTTTAATAAATAGTACATACAACACAAGACACGGACACGACACGAAAACATTCAGGCACGTGCACGGCTAAAAACTGACGACCGACTGATCGAACTTTATCACTGCAAAGGTTGGGTGGACTACTGGAATAACTGATAACACGTGTACCAACATAGCTGCTCAAATTATACCTTGTCCTGTTTGATTTGTATTATTGTCTCAAAAATTGGATTGGCTGCTGAATTAGTCTGGGAATTAATTATTAAGTTCGGTTCTTTAGCTGTACTGGTGTAAATGTGGAAATTTTCAATACAATTAAGTTTGTGACCTTTGCTACCAATATGGAGTATTTCTAAACTATTAATTTCAGAGTAGTCGTGACAATACTTTTGGATGTGTTCTGCATAATTTGAGTATAATGAATAATCTTGTCGAAGAGTGACATAATATCCCGCAAAATTTTTTTTAACGAATCATGTATTTTTTATCGAATTTTCTTTTGAGTAAAAATACATAATATCCAAAGCAATACATTGTATATGTCTTAAATTTAAAGTATGATTTTAAACCAAAAAGCTGATTAGTCTTAAGAAAGTGATTTAGCTAAAAACCTCCTTCCATTTTAACTGTTTACAAAATGCATTTCATAATTCATTCGGCATGAAAAATCAAATTATATCTTGGATTTGTTCAAACTATGAAAACTGAATTAACATGTATAACAAACAAGTGTTGTAAAATATGTTATTGTTGGCAATGCTGTAGGATAATAGCAAAGCCGCTGCACGGAAAGAATACTTGTCAAGAAAAATATAATATACAGTATTTAATATTACAATTTAACAAATTGCAAGATTTTTAACTGTGATTAAGGCACTGATAAATGATTTGACTTCTTAAGTTCGTGGCTTAATACAAACAAAGCTTGATCGAGTGAAGTTTTGCCGACTTTTTAATGATATTTTCCAAAACAGGTGTTTATTTAATACATTTTTATACACAAAAATAACAAAACTAAGAGGAGTTTACCTATACTTAAATTTGAAATATAGTTTTTTAATCATTCTAGTAAATTTAAACTCAGGGCTTAAAGTTAAAGTTTCATTAATATTGTTTAATTTCATCACATCACCATTTTCCATCTATTTATAACCTAAACATATACGCATGGGCTACCTTAACTATAACTTGAAACTGCCACAATAAATGTTTAATATGCAGATAATTATTCAGTGAACGGAAAGAGGGTGAAACAGAAGGAAAAGAGGGAAAGAGGATTTGTCTCCAAGGCAACATCAAAGGGAGAAGAGATGAGAACTTTGGGGTTGCTACAAAATGGATACAGCGAGAATACTCCAACATGTTGCAAAAGTGTATACACAAGTTCCTTATATCTCTGTTCGATTATTGGACACGATTGGGAAACAAGAGTACCAAGGGTTTTCTTTACTATTTAAGTCTTTTGTATATACTAAACGTACGAATACAATAAAAAACTAAATCAATCAGGCACCCGACGTAGTAATAAACATTGAATTGTTTTTAGGATAGTAGAATGGATTAAAAACCAACAAGCACGGAAAGCTAGTGTAAAGAATCAATTTTAACAAGATCCAAATTGGGATCAACAACGTGAATAGCATTACTTAATTTTAATCTGTTGTGTCTGTCCAGCCTCTTTATATATAGGTTCTAAATTGCGTTGGGATACTTATTTTATATTGGAAGTTTCCAAAATATTTTATTTCCTATTCAAAATACAGTACATACGGAATATGAAAGAAATAGCTATCTAAGCCCAAACTGAACCTACTCTATAGTCATTTAAAGGAGTTTATCGGGAGTAGCAACGGATTTTGGACAACATATATTTTTGTAAAAACATACATATATACATTATTCAAAAAATAAAAATAAAAATGTTATGTTACAAATGTTAACCAAACCAATTAGCAATTATTGACTTAGGTTTCTGAATTATTGAAGTGTGGGTAGATCAATGATGCCTTATAAGATATAAAATTATTGTGCGTCTATGATACTATTTAGACGAAAATAACAGTTAAAATGAACAGTGTGTTTGATTAGATTTTGTTTAAGAAAATGTACAGATAAAATGTTGTACCATCACAACAAAACTGTAATACTAATTTGGTTTCAAAGAAATCTAGCTTGCTGCAATATACTTCCTAATTTAAATGGATTAAAATCTATTACAAAAACAGTTCTTTCTAATTTCATCCTTTTTAAGTTTGTTAATAAAAAATTGTATTCGAAGGAATTTTTGTAGCATAATGTAGTTTATGCCACTTATAAATTTGGAATTCGAGAGGAGAAATACATTTTACGGCGTTCCATATTTGTATTTAAACACAATTCCTTGCCATATTGCATAATCCTTTTACACTGTTATTTGTCCCATAAGGAGTTAATTTTAAATAGCAGGTCCCCTTTCTTATGCTTATGGTTTAGATAGTTCTCGCTTTCCTTCCAAACTTGAACCCAATCCTTTATTTAGAGTCCTTGGAGCCTAACTATGCTTACTCATAAAACAATTATTACAAAGACTACAAAAAATATCTAATGTTATAGAGCCCTAGATATTTAAATTACAATCACTTTGGTGTTTTAACTAATATTTTGGGATGTTAAATAATTCTTCAGCGAGTTCAGCGGCTGTTTAAAATATATAAAATATGGTTACTAGCCTCCAAGGACTCTTATTTGATAATCAGTGTGATGAAGTATAGTATGATGAGTATGAGTAGACTACAGTAAAGAGTATCATTATAGTATGATATAAAGTAAAGTTTGTCACATAGTTTGATAGATTTTGTGGAACATTCTATCTCCCTACCGATTATATAACTTGTTGGATTAATTCGATAAAATTAGGCCTACTACTTAGGAAAGTAGGTTTTACCGTAGACTTTAATGGTTTGGTCTAACCATAATGTACTTTTTCTCCAATTTCGATTAAATTTAGTTCAAAGATGATAAACCAACGCAAACTTGAATTAGCTTGCGAACTAACGATTCCATCATAATAAGGAGGATTTTTAAAACTGTTAAAAAAATTAAAACCCTGTTTTCATCATTGAAAATAACATTGAAGTAAGATACAATTTAGTTAAATTAATTAGCATATCCTTTTACAAAATCAATATTTAACTGTTGGTTTTAAAAATTAAATGACAACATTTCATGTTGTCTTGTAGCG